CTACCTCTTCTGCAGCTCTTTTCTGCTGCCAGCTTCCTGGCTTTATACCAGCCCTGCATGTTCCTTCTCAGCTGGGTCCCATCATCAGTCAGCCCCTCAAACCATAGCTCTCCCTTAGGTGCAGCCTATCAGGTGAATTCACCTAATTTACCCTGCTCTGCCTTGTGTGGGGGTGAACATCCCATCCAATCTGTCACTGTGTTCAAATACTGGTCACTCCTGAAGGGAAGACTTGTAGGGCTCAAACCATTCATGCCTGCTAAGGAATCATTGTTGCTACACACGGTGTTGTACTCCCAGTCTGAGAGGAAGAAAATTGTGTGACTCCACCCTGAGAAACAAAGACATGGGCTTGTAACACAGAGGGGGCGTGCTCAGAAAAACTAAGCAGCTTCCAAGGTGCAGATAGCCCTGGACAATGACAACTGTGTTTTGAGAAATCATCAGATGTGGCAACTGCAAGGCTGATCTGGTTTATTTTCTTCTACTGATAGCATAATATTGTTTTAACTCATATATTAGGAATTAGAGATAGAAAAGAACTATCAGGTCACACTGTAATTACCCTGTCAGTGCAGGACTGTTCTACTTGCTTTGCCCAGTTTAATTTTACAGGACTCAGGTGATGGAGCTTTCACTGAGAGACTATTTCACATCATAACAGACCACATTAGTAAGGATTTACTTCCTGACAATTGGGCATCAGTGTAAATTTCAATGAAAAACCTCTCAGTGTAAATGGGACTCACACCCAATTTTTATTGTTGTTGTGTTGGCACTTACAATGAAAGACCTTCCAAAATTTTACCGCAGGCTAATGAGTGAGTAAAATTTGCAAGCCTGATTAAAGGCAATAATTTTATGTGTTATTTTATTGACATATCCAAGGCTTTCAATTAAGCAGATCATTACTTACTATTACAAGAATTAATTGCCCCAGATATCTATGCTAAAGCCTTATTCAGAGTTAAATCCTACACAGTATACTCAGCTGTAAAGCTATTGATTACAGGCAGATGTCTTTTGCAGTGTAGCTCAATGAAAAGCCCAACTGCAGGAAAAATGCCATATTCTATGTTCACAATAATTCAGTTTTAGATACTGGTAACAGAAGAGTTGTAAGACAGCAACGATGATACAAAAATGTGATTACTGGGATATCTAATAATAGCCTCATTTGTTATCTTTTAAAATAAAGCTAGTTAATAAACAAATCAATGCAGAAAACTTGAACAGCAAAGCAAGGCATGGAATTGTTATCTTAATATTAAAGCAAGAAGGCTATTGTCAGTTGTTATACTGCAAGTTCACTTGCAGTAAAAGGAATAACATGAGTTTAAATCAGCACTTCATAAGATTCTGATGAAGGGGATGAGAAGGCTAAAATGCCTCTGGATTTATAGGAAATTAATAGTTTAGGATAATATTAGGTCTGTTCCAAAAATGGAAAGCATTTTCAGTGAAAAATTAAGAAAACAAAATAAAATGTGGATTTGTTTGTTTGAAAATGTGGCAGGTTTTAATTTTTCATTGAAATCAAACAAAAACATTCATTTTGATTCAAAAATCAAACATCTGAATTTGATTCAAACAGAAATCATTTCCTCCCTTCCCATTTTTGGTTCGACACTAGAAAAGGGGACAAAAGAGAGGGAAAGGGAGAAAACCCAAGAAATCCAGATTACCTTTTGTTTTGACCAAAAAAAGATCAATTCTAAAAATACAAACAGATTTTCAAGCAGAAAGTGGCATGCTTGTCTCAGTTCCTGAAGGGGAAAAATGAGTAAACAGATTTCATTACTATTTGTGATGACATTATACACTCCTGTTCAGTATGAAGAGGTTTTTCGGCTTATTCAAACACTCAATGCACTCATTCAAAATATTCAAGTGTTGCTCTACTCTGAAAAGTGTCTGTGAACACAGTGTCACGGTCTGCCTGTAAGTAAAAATCCATCCACATCCCTGCCCCCAACTACCAGCCCTGCAAACTCAGCCTCACGTTTCCCTTTTTTTGCAACACCATCATAGAATCACAGCATCACCGAATATCAGGGTTGGGAGGGACCTCAGGAGGTCATCTAGTCCAACCCCCTGCTCAAAGCAATAAATCAATAAATGTCCTGCTGGCTAAATTATATCCTGTGTTACATCCCCATTGCACAGATTTAACCAGATGGGATTTAACAAAACATGTCTGTGAATGATGCACAATAATAAGCAGAAATCCAGCTCATCCATCTGTTTTGACGCTACCAGGCTCAAAAGTAGTAAGATGCTATTTCTGTCACTCAAGTCAGTAGATATGACTGAATAAACACAAGGAGCCAGATCCTCAACAAGCGTACATCACATTAGCTCCACAAGTTTATGTCAACTGAAGATCTGACCCAAGGAATATTTCTGTTGAGTAAGAAGGTATAATTTTTGCTAGGTCATTTCTCACAATGGAACCTCATTTTAAGATCATGAAGTAAAATCCCAGAAGTAGAGAAATTTACAGCCAAAGGGACAATATCATCAAAGTTTAAGACCAAAAATTTTACTTGTGATAAATATCTAAGTTGAGACCAAGATTTTCAAGAGGGCTTAATGACACTTTAAAATCTGTAAAGCACTTTGAGATCCTCAGATGAAATTTTCAGAAGACCAAGCTAATATTATTGTTGCTTAAGGCTGACATTTTCAGAGATGACCTATAATTCTGAGTGCCTTGATTTTTGGATGCTTTAAAGAGGCCCAATTTTCAGAAGTGCTGAGTATCCGCCCACTAAAAATCCTTTAAGATGTCTCAAATTGGGCACACACAAAAAAATCTAGCATCCAAAAGGGATAGTCATTTTTGAAAATGTTGGCCTTCAGAAATATTATTTTCCTCCACTGTAACACATTTAAGCTGAGGATTTTAGAGTGTTTAACAAATATCAATAAATGATAGTAGCCCTGTGAGATAGGTAAGTACTGCGATCCCATTTTTACAGACAGGAAAATTAAGAGACTGAGGCCAAGTGATTGGACAAGATCCGTCAGGAGTGGGGAGTCTAGGAATAGAATCCTTATCAACTGTGGCTCTCTGGCTCAAAGGTTTGTGCCTTAACCAGAAGACTATTCTTCCCCCGCTTTTCTCACATCCCCCTGCCTACTTAGCCAGGCTGTCTGAGAAGGGGTAAGGAGATGCCAAGCGGGGGAGATAGATACTTATAATGTCCCAGCGTAAGAGGTTGAGGGTGGAGAGAAATCTGTGTATGACCCAATAGATGATGGAAGTCACGACTAATGGGTGATTGGATGTATGTGTGGTGGGGAGGATATTTGGCAAGTGATGGATCTGTGGGTGTGGGGACAGGCAGGTATGCGGTGTAAGTGTGTGTGTGCATGTGTCCGGAGAAGTTTAGTAGCAGAGAGTAAGAGAAGGTTGTGGCAGGCAGTGGAGAAAGAGAAGGGAGGGACAGTGGGAAGAGAAAGCAGGGAGAGATCAAATGGAAAAGAGAATGAAGGAAAAACTGGATCAGGAAGAAAGCAGGCCTTTAAAAAAGGAAAGAGAAAGGAAACTAAAAGCACAGGAAGCTAAAATTATTTATGATCAAAGTTTAATTCCAAATTAAATAAGTGGAAGCAAGTAAACAGTGATGGATTTTAGATGTAAATCTAAATTTTCAGCTTGGAAAAAAGGGGACTAAAGCGAGGATATGGTAGAGGTCTATAAAATCAAGAATGGCATGGCAAAAGTTAATAAGGAAGTGTTATTTACGCCTTCACATAACACAAGAATCAAGGATCACCCGCTGAAATTAATAGGCAGCAGGTTTAAAACGAACAGAAGGAAATAACTTCTTCACACAATGCACAGTCAACCTGTGGAATTTGTTGCCAGGGGATGTTGTGAAGGGCAAAACTATAATGGGGATCAAAAAAGAATTTGATAAGTTCATGGAGGAAAGGTTGATCAATAGCTATTAGCCAAGATGCTCTGGGTGTCTCTAGCTGGGGAGTGGACAACAGGGTCCATATTTGCCTGTTTGGTCATTCCTTCTGAAGCAACTGGCATTGGCCACTGTCAGAAGACAGGATAGTGCTAAACAAGATTAGAATTGTCAAACACTTCCAAGGAAAAGTTTAGGAGCCAGACTGAGATACATTAGCAAAGACAAGAAGGTAGGGGAATTTAAGGTCCTGATCCAAACACCGTTAAAGTCAATAGACAGAGTCGTCCTATCTTCAGTGGACTTTGAAGTAGGACTTAAAAAGACTTTAAATATTGTATTATGATTTTTTACGTAATCTCTATTCAGGCTGAAATGGAGATGACAAACTTCTCATTGAATAGGAAGACGTACTATTTTTCAGTATTATCTTTCAAAGCTACTTGTTTTAAAAGTGGGAACGCTAATGTTTTACTCCTCCTGAGAGAGTCACTTCAATTTATTTATATAAGGCCAGTACAGAAGGAATAAAAATATTAGGGGTTAAGTCTCAGCCTTGCCTCAACGTGTCCGCCCTTTTTGCGCACCCAATTTTGCATGTGCAAATAACCAAGGTTGCTATTGATTTAATGTAGATAACCAACTACCAGGCTGCATCTTCACCTCAGATATCTACATGACATTAGTCACGCCTGCCTTTATTTTCAAGCTCAGAAGGGAAGGCAGGCTTTTGATAATATGTCCCTTAATCTCTTGACGTAAAAAATGACTATCTGAGAAAGTAAGAGTGTGCTGACAACTATTGCTGAAGAGAGAAGGTACCTACCCTTTCTGACTTGAGAAGTACCGAGATAAGCCTAAGTATGCCATTGGGGTATTTGTTCTGCTTGAGTATACCTGGAAAAAAAGAACACTTGCACTGCAATAGACACAGATATACTATATTATAGCAACCCCCCAGGCATTGGCTATATATATATACACTCAAGAGTAATGCCTACGGCTGTTTTACACATCTCCAACAAAGCAAAATCGCAATAATGTACAAACACACACACAAAAGAGTAAACAACGTACTCCACCCAAGAAGTGGAGCCACGCTCCATCCCAGCGAGTAGAGCCAGACAATAACAATGATCTGCGATGTGTGTTTCTTGGAAGTCCACCGCATGGATTGCAGAGGCTTAGTGATCACAAGGTATCGATCAATGGAAATAGCTAATAAAGTCATCATTGAGGTTATTCCAAAGAGCGCCCCGCAAAAAGCATACAGGTCACAACCTAAACAGAAAAGTGGAGCGAAAGATTTTTAGTTTTCTAAACAAATGTAGAACTCTCTCTTATAGCCTGATGCAATAAACTTCCCATTTGTGATCACACTGTTCTTGACTCAAGACACTTTCCTCATCATAGGAATTTATACAGCCTTCCTGCCTCACCAATTTATTTTTTTTTAATAGGGCAAATATAAAATTAATATAAAAGGAAGCAGGAAAAATGTCCCACCTTGTACTGTAGGCTATGACTGAGAATCATTTGTCAATGGAAAACTGCCTCAAGAAAAATCCAATACAATTAAAGTTACATTTTCCTGGAATGCTGCCCAATATAATGACCTTAACTATACTGAAATAGACATTTGTCTCCTAGAGACAAAAGGATATATCAAAAAATGAACATTGTTTTACGCAGTGTTGTTGTACCTCTGTTGATCCCAGGATATTTAGAGAGACAGGATGGGTGAGGTTAAATCTTTTATTGGACCAACTTCTGTTGGTGAGAGAGAGAAGCTTTTGAGCTACATGGAGCTCTTCTTCAGATCTGGGAAACCTTACTCAGAGGGTAAATCTACACTGCAATTAAAAACCCATGGCTGGCCCAAACCAGTTGATTCAGGCTCCCAGGACTTGAGAAGAGGGGCTGTGGTATAGATTTTTGGGCTTGGGCTATCCTTTGGAACCCTCCCACCTTGCATGGTCGTAGAGCCTGAGCTTCTACACTGCAATTCAACAGCCCTTCAGCCTGAGACCCGTGAGCTCAGTCAGCTGGCACAGGCCAGCTGCAGGTTTTTAATTGCACTGTAGACATACCCAGAGTGTCACTGCTAAATACTAAATACCGGGTGAAACAGATGGTTTAGCATAAGTAGTTAACACCTATTTCAAGGGACCATTCAAGGTGAAGCGGCCAGTTAATACCTCTCCAATCTAGGGGGAAAGGGCCACCCAAATACCCTGAGAGAACCTGCTTCAATACAGAAATAAAACCCTCCGACTGCCACCCTACAACTGGAACCCATGCGGGGTATCAACAACAATTACAACCCACACTCAGTGAAGACCACATCATAAAAGAAATCAGGATGAATCCACTCTTTAGGCCTTCAAACAACCCCCCAACCTCTCCAAGCTCACCATCAGAAGCAAGCTCCCCATAGGCCACGATATACCAACTTTTAATGGCACCAGACCGTGCCAGAACAAGATACAAAACCTACAGACCAGTGGTGGGCAACCTGAAGCCCATGGGCCGCATGCGGCCCATCAGGGTAATCTGATTGCAGGCCAAGAGACATTTTGCTGATGTTGACCATCTGCAGGCATGCCCCCCTCTCACCCCACAGATCTCAGTGGCCACAGTTCGCTGTTATAGACTTAGTTTCACTGCTATGATGATCAACACCCCCCACAACACACCTTTCAAGATCCATGGGTCCAACACACGCCTATCACAACATGTGGTGTGCCTCATCCAATGCACTAAATGTCCCAGTAACAACTATGAGAGTGAAATGAAAATCACTATGCTCTTCAATAAATTCACATAGGAAAATGATAAAAGACAAAAAACACCGTATAACCTTTCACTTTTCACAGAATGACTGCTCTGTATCTGACTTTACAGCCCTCATCCTCAAAGGAAACATGTACACCTTCAGAAGGAGAGCCTGGGAGCTTAAATTCATAACTCTGCTAGACACTAACAGTTACAGACTGAACACAGACACTGGAATTATGGCTCATTTAAACAATCTGTAACCCATTTAATCCCGTGCAGTGATGCTGGAACTCTGTTAATAGTGGGGGTGCTGAAAGCCAGCCCCCCTACTCCTGTCCTTCCCCCACCCCAGCTGGGGCCGGGAGCAGGGTCGTGTCTCTGGGAGAGGGGGACCCAGACAGGGGTAAGGGGGCTGAAGATAGGGTCACAGCTGGGGGTAGGAGTGGGAGCGGGAGCAGGGCCAGGAGTGGAGCCCCAGGCTGGTAACTGGGACCCGGGAGGGTGTGGGGTCGGCAACTGGGAGCCCCAGGCAGAAGCCCGCATAAAACCTGGGGGTGTTGCAGAACCCTCTGCACCTCTAGTTCCCGCGCCTATGATCCCGCACCTCCCATCCCAGACTCTTTCTCCAACCCCTTCCCTGTATGACTGGAGAGGGGTTAATGGGCACTTCACCTTTAATGGTCCCTTGAAATATGCCTTAACTACTCATGCTAACGATTCATTCCATCTTGTGTTTAGCTGTGACACACTTGTACCTTTCCCAGACCTGAAGAAGAGCTCTGTGTAACTTGAAAGCTTGTCTCTCTCACCAATAGCCGTGGTCTTATAAAACTTCACCCATATTGTATCTCTAACTTTGTTTTATATGAATTAAAAATGCAGAGGTGCTTTTGACTTCATGCCTATTTAAAAGCCTTGATAGAGAAAACAGCCACTGGTCCTATGAAATATGGTACAAAATGTTCTTTAAAGTTACAATTTTCACTCTGAGGCAGAATGATTTTTCCTTTGTATATTCTGCTAATAGACAAAGACAGACAGAGTTGCAATTTGAAGAATTTGACCTGGAAATCAGTGTTTCTTAGGATTTTCTGTGACACCGTGTTACCACACGTGATGGTACACTAGAGAAACATGATCGTATGCTAGAGACAGCACATAGTTCAAAATGACACAATTGACACCAAAAGTAATGTCAATGTCAGGAGCATGGAGGTAGTGGACCAAAATCCAGATAATTGTCCCATTTATGATCCTGACAGGCATGGCAGGATTTGTACCGATATCTAAATAGCAAAGTGGGAGAGACAAACAATATTGCAAGCCCAATGAATAAATCTCTTCTGCTGGTACTAAATAGGTTGTTTCAGGACCTGATTCACCACTGTGCTACTCCAGTTTTATGCTGATTTATTTCTATTGCTATCAATGGAATTATGCCAACCTAAATGCAGAACTAACACAATTGTGAATCAGGCCTTTAATTGGAGCTTGCAATATTTTCAAAGGAGCTACAGTTTAGACCTCACATGCTTCCTTGTTTCGGGAAAGAGAGAAGCAGTTGAGGCCATCATTTGGCTCTCTTATTTTGCGATTCTCTTTACTGATTGAATTCTCCCAGGAGCCTCGCACTAGGTTCCAGGTATACATTTCGAAACAAATAAATACATAATTCACTGTCAATCAAGAAAAAGAAAAAAACTCTATATATGGCTTAACAAATTATGAATTATTCTACCCATCATCAAGCATGGTAACTGGCTTTACATGCTAAGTGGTCATGTGACCACTATGGTGTTACTCTTGAAGCCAGAAGTTTGATTCCTTTCATTCAAAGAACTGGAAGGGGAAGGAACCAAACCTATAAAACACAAGAGGGTAGGGATTCAGTGACTTTCTGCCAGTCCTGTTGGTTGATGATGTCAAGACTTTGGCTTGTGCCTCAAGAGTCTTGTGTGACTGCCTCCATGCCACAAGCTGATGGCTAAGATAGGTTCCCATGCAGAGGGAGATATGAAGTAGTATTGAAAAGTACCTATTTCGCCAAGTATCCACTCTTTGTGCAAACTGTTGATAAAGCAAATGGGGGCCTGAGAAGCAGACATCAGGAAGTCACTCACAGCCAAATTCATTATAAAGTAGTTTGGTGCTGTCCTCAGTTTCTTGTTGCTTAAAAATAATGCAATAAAATAAATAAATACAAGCCAGAGAGTTAATTTTGTTTTTACTGTTTACTTAGTCAAAGAATCTGACACTTTCTAGGTTACAATTTTATGCTTCATTCATCAATCCATTACCATTCATCCATTATGGATGTCAGGATTTTGGAACAATGACGAGGGGAAGAGGAAAGGATCTATTTTCCAACATTTTATCAATAAATGTAGAAATATATTGAATATACCCATACTTACCACACTCCATTTTAACAGAATAGGAGAGAACTCTAAATTTCCCGAGAAACATGTTTTTGCTCAATAGAGCCGGATCCTGACATGTGCTGAGCACGCTCAGTTACCATTGACAGCAGTCGGTTGAGAGTGCTCACCATTTCACTGGGTCAGACCCTAACAGAGAGTACAGCATCAAAGGCTGCCCATGGGCGATCACTGAATTTTTAATAGCTGCTGTGCTGGTTTAGTCAGTCACTGTATTAGCAGGATCTAACTCATTTTTTGCAAAGTGCTTTTTGATAACCTAAGCATCAAAGGAGATACACAAGACCAAATGACATTTTATTCATCTAGAGTCTTAAATTATAGAGCTGTTTATAAGAAGCAAACCTCTAGACTACATACTTATAACTAAAACAGTAACTGGGGTGTAAAGAGACAAAGTACCACAAGGTACAATTACATATTTTCTTTTCGTCCAACGAGCACAGTAGTATTTATAACATTTGCATTAACTTGTATGCCACATTTCTGCCTGGGAGAATTGTTACATCCCAGCTATAAATCCTTGAAGATATACATGCAGAATGGAAATGCTGAGACAATTTTAACTGCTTCAGTGCCACCTAATGTAACAGGTACATGGGGCAAAATACACACTCACCACTGCTCTGTGTACCTACCATAATGATCACAGATGGGTTAATATTGCAATAGAATCTCCTTAGACGTTTTTAAGGTCAGGCTTGACAAAGCCCTGGCTGGGATGATTTAGTTGGGGATTGGTCCTGCTTTGAGCAGGGGATTGGACTAGATGACCTCCTGAGGTCCCTTCCAACCCTGATATTTTATGATTCTATGATCTTTATGATGTGCTTCATCAAAGAAGCTGAAGCAATGAAGCAGTTTGCCACAATGAGCTACTGTAGTTATAACCATAATTTTATCTGACCCCTCCATTGTAAAGAAGTTTGTATGCAATGCTGATTCTACTCTCTTGGCTTCTAAAATCATTAAACTGGAAAGTGACTGTAAAAGTGGCACTGTGGAGCTTTCATCTCAATGATTTTCTGTGCTGTTTCTCATTTGCATATTCATTTAAATTCAAGGCATATGCCAAAAGTGGCACTCAGCTTCCCCAAAGCAGTGACTTGCATAGAAAAGCCTGACCAAGGTGTAACCTACATGTTCTGCCTACTGTAAATACTGCTGTCTCATCTCTCGCTCTCTCCACTCAATCTTTGTTGAAAATTTTAGCTGCGCCAAATGGATCCACCCTTCAGCTATCAGAAAGTGCTTCAAAGAAGCCATATACTAACTGTCCAACTGCAAAGAAAAAAAACCCCCACATTTTAAATGAAAGCTTAGATTTTGCAGGACACTGCAGAATGCAGCAAAATGTGTGAAATTGCTACAACTGCAGTTTTCACAAAACCAGAACTTTCTTCTGTCCCTGATGTTAAACACTGCCAATTTAAAAAAGCTATTTTTAAAAGAAAAATGTGCGTTATCTATTTTACTTGTAACATATCTAATGAGCATGCTCAAAAGTGATTTTCCAAGAGCATATAGTAATATTATCGAACCAATATTTTTTTCAAACTCACTGGCTGATGGAGCACTATTAACAGGTCAAGTCTCAAAGTTGAGCCATTTTTAAATTTCTGTATGAAGGGCAAAATAGTAAGTGTTGCAATAATATTTTGCTGTGGGAAAAGTATATCAACATCAGTCTGTGGGAATCAGTATCAAAATTCAGACAGCCAGGGCTGGATTTACACTTTATGTGCCCCTCGGAACAGCATCTTCAGCCCCCCTGGCCTCCGCCCACCTACAGCTGACCCTGCATCAATATGAATGTGAAACTTATTGTGTATTGTGTCAAATTTGTGCCGACCACAATATACTGGTCCCTTTCCTCCCTGCAGCAGCCCCTCAAAGCAGCGTTGCCCGCTCCTAGCCCCCCCTCTCCGCTGGTGGAGCAGTCCCAGGGCAGTCGGGGCAGCCAGGGCACAGCCTTCCCTGGAACACACGAGACCCTCTGCTATGCATGGCATTCCCAGCCTGAGCCGGGCAAGGTGCAATGAGGGAACTGTGCCTCTCCCCACTGTGAACAGGCCCTGGGTGTCTTCCGTCCCTCATGCAGCCCAGCATGGCAGCCACGCTCCTGCTCTGCCTGTGCAAGTGAATGGGGCACCAGCCACTCCAAACCCTGTCCTTCCCAGGCACAGGCAGCCGAGATTGGGAAGTGGCTGGGATGCTCCCAGAACCTGCTGCAGCCACCCCTCCTGGCCATGGCTCAGAGTGCCCTCATGTGGGCTGACTTGGACGCTCACCCTGCTCCAGCCCCACATGTTGTGCAGCAACCAACCCATGCCAGGAGACAACTTTTCACTTTTAGGCACCGCTACTGTGCCTAATTGGAAATCCGGCCCTACAGACAGCTGACCCAGATTCACCCCTCTGCTGCTGTGAGCAAAAAAGATGATGAAGCCCTCAGATCTTGGATGGGAAGGTATAAAGGCTGTGAGTGCTGGCTCCACACCATGCTCTGCTTGTCTCTCCTGATGGCAGGAAAAATTTCTCATAGGTGTCAGGCCCTTGGTGTGGGATGGGACCACTTCCCTGTGCCATTGTTCTCCACTAAACCAGCCTTTCCAGACGGGTGTGAAAAAACACCCCCAAGTAGCATACGTTTTACCAGCCTAAACGCTGATGTGCACATCACTATGTCAGTGGGAGCTGCTCTCCCGCCGACACAGCTACCGCTGCTTGTTGAGCTGGTTTTATTATGTCGACAGGAGAACTCTCCCTGCTTTACATTGTCACGAGCCATCAAAGTATAAATACAGACAGGAATCCTACTGTCTGTCTGCAGGCATGGAGAGCATTGATGGCATATCCTCATTTCATGTACCATGGCGCTTCCTGGATCCAAATCCCCCCAGCCCCAGCACCTTCAGGTGACTGTATGAGGCAGTCTTCATAGTATCTTTCACATATTCTTGGGCGGTAGAGGGTGAAGGGAGTCGGGGACAGAGCAAGAGAGAATATAATGGTGCAATTAAGCATTTCTTCAAATCTGTAATTTTAGTCCATCATAAAACAAATCCCATGTGTTTATTTTCTCATAGTTTTTAATTACTCAAAGGAAAAGGAATTTACAGTGATGCTCCTAGTGATAATATGCACATGGTCATTTCTGCATCTCACATCATCAACAAATATGTGCAGAGAGGAAACTGATTCAGAATATTCTCTCTCTCACACACACACACACACTCTACTGAACAAACTCAAGTCATTGGGCTTGCTAAATCAACCATGTCTGGAACTGAATTTCTGTACCTGTAAAATGCATAAAAAACCAAAAGGTTTCCTGTAACTCCAATAGATCCAATTATAAGAACACAGGTTCCAGTAGCATAAAGGATATGATCAGGAACGTCTGCTTTTGTCACAGTGTGGTGACGAGTTCCCGTATCCAGGATCTGAAAAGAAAAGAAAAGGAAAAATAAAAGTTACTACAATCAGTGCTTTTAATCAAGTTGACAATTAGTCTATACACTGTACCTCCCTAAACACATGCTGCAAAATAAAGCCAGATTCTTACATACCATTGAAGCACTTTTGTAGGGCTGTGTAAAAAATCTGGCCTTACCATTGGCAATGCTATATTCGTACTATGTGTAAACAGAGCACTTCATTCTCCAAGCCTCTCTACCCAGCACCTTTCACAAACAGCATACAAAAAATGTAAGGCAAAAATGAACTACTAGACTGTGGGAGAGATTGCAAGAACTGTCTCATATTTAAGATAAGAAGCTGGCACTAAATATATCTAGATACTTACTTTTTTGCTGGGGGACATGTGGATAAAGCTAAAGAATATGGAGTTTAAGGAGACTTCCTTATAAAATCCTCTTTTATTTATATTATTTAATATTTATGTCAAGTGCCATGATGCTTGCAAATCACTACATATTTGGATAGCAAGCTGAGGCCTCTGCTTGTCTGCGAAGATTTGTAACCACATCCTCTCAACCCACCCCCATCCTCTGCCTGTTGTCTCCTGTCTCACTGTAGATTGTAAGCCTTTTGAGGTAGGGACTGACTTTTTTGTATGTGCCTGTACAGTGCCTAGCACAATGGGGTCGCAGTCTTTGACAAGTATTCCTAGATGCTACCATAATACAAATAATAGTTTTATACATGTGCATGTTGCTTTACAGAGGGAATTGAAAGTACAGTACCTGCCCAAAGGAACTACGAAAAAAATACAATCTTTTAAAAAATTATTCAGGTCACCCGTTAATGGAGTTAAATTTCCATCATAATCCTGAATGACCTTTTTTGGGTTAAATAATACAGATTTCAAGAAGAGGAAAATATTTTAAAAATTGTCAGAGGCACAACATACATGTTAGGAATTATGAGATTAATCTGATTATATGAAAAAGGCAAAGATGTGTTGGCATATAAATAGGCATCATATTTTCTGAAACAACAACCCAATCTAAATTAGTGTGCATTCTATATAATGCAACATACACCTCAAAAAAACCCCAAAAAACAAAAGCTCATCATGCCTCTGCTTTTATAAGTAGCATTGCCAACTGTCAACATTATTTCTAACCTTATCCCTTCAGTTGACCTTGGGAATGACAAAGACTAAAGTTTCCTTTGTTTCTATTCCCCCCCCCAGTCCTCTTGACTGATGGTGCTGAGAACTCTACATGGAAAAATTTGAAGAAAAGAGGAAAAACAGCAGCTGTAGCAATGATTGTGTCAGTACAAACTCATTAAATAATTTTGACATTCCCATTACTGCCACAATCACAAGTGCATTAATAAAAAATGTCACCAATTCCCTGTGTATGTTTTTTTTTTACACAAGTTTAAGTCTATTGCTGACCAAATTCAGCAAACAAGACAGCCTGTGGCTAATTCACTCAGATCTTATTAGCATTGTCAATGAGATGATTGTGAATTGCCAGTCTAACAGATTATTTACTAATTGCTAATAGTGTGTTGCTCCATCTATAGCCATATAGGGGTCTTACAAACTAGTTCAAACACTAACAGTTTAGATAGTAGTCTTTGGACCTATGGCAATTTTACACCAGCAGAGGATCATGCTCACAGAGCCAAATTCTGCCCTCATATGCACCCAGGGTTACACAGGATGTAAAGCAGGGCAGACTGTAGCCCGTAAGATCAAAACCAGGCGATAATACAAGCTCAAGAAGGTCTGGACTCTTCACCCAAAGGTATCACAGACCTAGTGGATTTGAAGAAGGTGAGTGAAGCTCCTCTTTTCAATTTGCCTCTCCCTAGTTCCACAGTCCTCCTTGATCTCTTTCTGACCTTTTCTATTACATGTTTTTCACCTCCTATTGCCTCAGTTCTCCACACAACCACCACCCTCCTCCCTGAAATTAATGGCAGGCCTGCACATAAACACAGATAATTGTGTGATCTTGTTAGTGTCACCTTATCTGTGCCACCCACTGCTATCCTATTATTTACTATGGTATTGCTCATTGCATCTTACCTGTAATGAGATAGTAAGCTCTTTGACACAGGAATTTTTGTTTGTTCTATGAGGTGTCCAGTACATTTTGGGATGCTGTAAAAAATATAATTATAATAGGGCAGGTATGGGATGTGTGGGAAAGAAAAGGGCATTCGAATATAGGGTCTCCAAAGGACAGATAGCATTAGCAGAGAGACCTTACAGTCTAAGTCTAGAGTCAAAGAGGAGAAGCCCTTTTCTGGAAAGCATTTGTTTTCTCTGTGAATAAACCGGCAAGAACTTGGACAGGCTGGGAGGAGGGTTTAGACATGGGAGATTATTTTATGGAACATCTTGGTAGAGAAGCCTCACCAGAAGTTGTAAGCACACTGTTGACTCATATTTAGCTTGTGATCCACTATGACCCCCAGATCCTTTTCCACAGTACTCCTTGCTAGTCATTTCCCATATTGTATGCATGTGACTGACTGTTCCTTCCTAAATGGAGTACTCTGCATTTGTCCTTCTTGAATTTCATCTCATTTTCTTCAGACCATTTTTCCAGTTCGTCCAGATCATTTTGAATTTTAATCCTACCCTCCAAAGCACTTGTAACCCCTCCCTACTCGGTACCATCTGCAAACTTTATAAGTGTACTCTCTATACCATTATCTAAATCACTGATGAAGATATTGAACAAAATTGGACCCAGAGCTGATCCCTGTGGGCCTCACTCGATATGCCCTTCTGGCTTGACTGTGAACCACTGATAATTACACTCTGGGAATGGTTTTCCAACCAGTTACGCACCCACCTTAGAGTAGCTCCATCTAGGCTGTATTTCCTTAGTTTGTTTATTAGAATGCCTCTCCACTAGTAGCTTTCTCCACCTTCTGAACTGAAAAATGAGAGCTGTTAACTTATGGTACAGCCAATGAGCAGGTACTGTACTGTACAACTAACCCATTAGCAAGGATGAGCAGAAACGCCATGCCCGATATACGGTTTAGACCCAGGCCGATATTGATCCACATTGTAGACATAAATTGGGTGATGGCTCTCTTATGGAACTATAAGAGGATTTAGTCCAATCCTGCAAGGTGTGGGTTCCTGCTGTTAGTTCCTGAGCAACCTCAATGCTCCTTGGCCATGATAGGAAACTAGGTTGCTCAGAAACTTTTAAGACACACTAAGGACCTTGCAGGATTGGACAGAAAATGAGGACCTGGGAGACAGTGGGTCCTGGAGAATTTTTTTTAAAAGACAGAAGTGGTGAGTGGATTTGTGGCTTCTCTTTTGGATTTGATTGGGTTTCTGAGCAGAAATCTTAAACAGTTAAGAAATTCAGTTAACTGCCCATATTGACTGTGGAAAAAACACAGAATTTGAGAAGCTGTCAGAATCATCTGAGGCTTTTTTTCCCTTGTTATACAACATAGGCTTTTTATGCCAGAGTACATGCTCTTGGGCTGTAACTGAACTTCCACAGCAGTGGAAGAAGGTACTCCATGTTTGGCTTTGGGATTCATAAGTTAATTAGGGACAGATTCTGTTTTGTGATTTCTGAGAGGCACAGCATAGAAAACTCATCCCGAGGACTGGGTGGGGACAAAGGCAGCCTTAAACTATTTTTGTGCCTCCCAGATTCGGAGCTGCTGCAAGGACTGAAATAACATGCTCCACTCTCCCCTGTCCACCATCACCTCCACAGCACAGGTTAGAGCAGCCTCGGGGGCACAGTTAATTTGGTCACTCATTGTTATGATTTTATATTTATCACGGTAATTGCTTCTTTATGAAAAAGTGGCTATAAACCCACTTTAATTTACATTTTCTTCCAGTTCCTCTGTATCTATGTTACAATATATAAGGGATATTGAACTCCTTTATATATTGACAAGTGGATGCATGTGGGTCTAAGAGAATCTAACAAAGTGCGACAGTGGATTAACTATTGCCCAAAAGAAACATACAATCTAAAAAATTTGATAATGCCATAGGAATAAACCAGTTATATTCTCAACATCACCTATCAGTAACCCCAAGTTCCCGGCATACCCAGTCTCATGACTCAATGTGGGGAGGGAAAATTACTAAATTCAGTTGTTTTGCAATTAATAGGACTTGACAGCTAGAATGTGATTCACATGAAGGCCTCACAGTCCACAGACCTAATCAATAAAAACAAAAATGTAATGATTGGTGAAGTCTATACTTTTGTTTTGTCTGTTACAAAACTGTCTAATTTTTCCACATTCATACTTCCATGCCTCTGAAGTTTGTCTAACAGCCTTAAAGTGCAAATTCTACTCAGAAAATTATATAAAAATGGCATCAGATCTGCTTTCTGGGTGTATTCAGAATTATATCTGCTGACAGTAATAAAAATATGTTTTATTTCTATTATTTCTGAAAAGTCAGCACAGATAGGAGAATTATTTGGATTCTATTCCTTCTTGCACATCATCTGCAGTATTATGACAGGAATGTCCAGATGGTGCTGTGACATCGTTTTACAAGTTATTTTTCTTTGCATATGAGCAAGTTTCTAGTCCTGGAAGAAATGCTGTGTTGTTTGTTCTGTTGTGGTTCCTTTAGGGGAACTGTGGCAAGCAGCTACAGAGTTTGCTCTCTGCCTTAATCTCTGTAACTATAGTCAGTTCTTGAGGCAGAGTCGCTCCCTGAGAATTGAGCATTGGTGTTTGTCTCAGAGTTCTTAAAGAGAAGATTGTTTGCATGCTGTTTGTGACCACTTCTGTTTCAAGACTTGTGTATATGTGTAAAAAAAACCAAGTTACACTAAGAATATATTCAAAGTCTGCACCGCTGATTTCTCCTCCAATCGGAAACTGACTTGTAAGACCCCAACATTTGTTACTACTCGGCAGAGGCATGATGATAAAATTCTTCATTAAGTTCCAATTACACAGCCATTAAACCTGTATTAACCAACTGAAAGCGATATGGTGGCACAGA